TTGAAATTCACTTGCAGCCATAAAAATTCATGACATCCATTCCACGACTGAATGTCTAATAAATCCAATCATCTCAACCAGTCAAACTCATAAATCCTCATAAATCATTGGTATAGTCTTTAAACTGCACAGTCTTAGCATAACCCGGCCCAAAGTAAGAGCAGATCAAAAAGAGCAGAGGAAGAACACACTGCACACATTTTCCGACCGATTTCCCAAGCCCAAATGTTGCCCATTAGCAAACCAAAATACGCAATGCACAGGCAAAGCTCCTGCCGAATTGTTAAACTTCAACTCCATCATTCGCAGTCACGGAGTCGAGCCTTAAAGTCACGCCCCTTGGGCTGGATTTGTGGTGGGGTGAGTGGGCAACTCCCTCTTGGCTGACTTTACATTTCAAATTGGCAAAATCGAAGCCATGAAATTGTACAACACGATTCTCGCATATCGTACATGACACCATTTGCCCAATGATATGGCAACGGCTTTTCGCTCTCAGTTCCGTTCAGTTCAGCTCCACTCCTCCGACCACACCTAAGGGGGATTGGGGCCAGGACTGGCTGGCTGGCTTCTTAGCACATGCCGTCATGCCCAAAAATTCACTTATGGAAATCGAAGAATCTCGTTCGCCAGCTTTTGTTTCCAGGCAGCGACAGTTCGCGACCCAACTGCAAACTAAACTCATATGAAGTATCAGCATTCGGTATTCAATGTAAATCCTTTAAGCTCCAAATGCGCTTGAGAATACACCGTGAATACACGCACACCCACACACACCCACACACAGACACATGCCCCTAGTATTTGTGCTTCTGATTGAAAAGTGAAAAGTGACTGTGTGAATGCTTCTGCACGCAGATTCCCAGCTGCTTCGCTGTGTGTTAGCTTCCTTTTCTTATATATATGTATATTTTCTGTGTGTTTTATAGCTCCTTGAGTTATTAGCCATATAAGTACTAGTATTATTTATAACGGTTGATTTATTTGTATTTTTATTTGTGCTTTGTTTGCTTGGGTAGAGTTTTTAAAGTCAAGTTCGCTTCCCTGTGTTTATTTATTTATTTACTTTTTATCTCTTTCGCTCTCATAAGCTCATAAGCTCAAAGAGAGAAGATGTTAAATTATAATTTCTAGGTATTATAGGGATCTATAGAATATTTCACGCATTGTTATTTCTATATCATTTAAATGTCGTAGAAAAACAATGAATTTTTTGTAGATTTATTTTAATTATATTATAATGATAATATTATAAAAATCTGTTTATCTTTATTTTATATATATTTTTTTAAACATATTTTTACATTATTTATTTTATTTTTTTTATTAATATTTATTAAAGTAAAAACGATATGAAATATAAAAATATATCAATAAAATCTGACTATGTACATACATATGTATGTATACATATATACGAATCTCCTTTATATAACTAATTCCCTACACAAATCAAAGCTAGCTCGCAAATTTCGTAAAGCATCGTTAGGAGTTGATATTAGTTTACTTTTTTCCCCTCACTAGCATAATATCTCAGCTATGTGTCTACCTCGCTCTTTCTCTTTCTCTCTCGTACTGTGCCTCTCACACTCTCTCTTTCACATTCATCAGTCACAAAATTTACAAATTTCACAACATAAAGCATATTTTCTTATACACAGTGCCCAGACCAGTGCGAAGTAAAGTGCTTAAAGTTTTTTCTTCCATTTGCTGTTTTTTTTTTTTGTCGTAATGCCAAAAAAGAAGCAACAAAAATAAAACAACAGCAAAATAAGAGCTCAAAATTTATTTGCAAACATTTATTATAGTTACTTTGTTTTATTCTCGTAGAGTACTTTTGCTTGTTAGCAGCAGAGGGCGTGGCGAGGGGTTTCTACGTTTGCTGCTGCATTGTTTTATAGTCATTCGATGTTGTTGTTGCTTTTGTTGCTGTTGTCGTCTGGGTAATGAAACGCACCGCAAAGTTGATAAAAAGACGACCACAACGAAATACAAAAAACAGAAGCAAACGAATGGCAAAGGGACAGTCGAGGGTAAGTGTGGCCAGAGCCCTTATTCCCGATCGTTTCGGCTGCCGGGTGGGGGGAGGCGAGCGAAACAAATTAGTTTAGAGATAAGCAGGTTACAAAATATGCCAAAGCATACTTTCTGGCGGGCCATCAAACAAAGTGCCGCTCTTGATTAGCCCGAAGAGGCTTCATTTTTATGTGCAGCAGGGAGCAGGTCTGGTGGACTTTGGGGAGAGAGGCGAGGAGGCGAGGAGGAGGCGAGGCGTCAGCTTGTGGGCAAACACAATCAAGCGGCAGAGACGCTCCGTGAAAATGTTGAGCAGCTGTCGATGGAAAATGCAGCGCAAATAGCACAAAACAAACACAACAAGCGACTTGCCAGCGACTGTGTGTGCGCTAGAGTGAGAGCGAGAGACAGGTAGGGAGTGAGAGCGGGATAGCGTATTACAGCGTGCTAGCGGCGTGTCTGTAATGCGCCTTTGCCCGAGTGCACTGTAAATACCAAAGCAATTTCCACTGTAAAATTAACAAGCGCCAAGCCGCAACAGACGTGCCTGCTCGACGGGGGCAGCTGGTTGGTGAGGGGGGACAGGGGGGTTAGCCGGGTTTGGTCTGTGTGGTTAAGGTATTGGCATCTTCAGACAACCAACGGGTGTGCGAGTGACTGTGTGTGTGAGTGTGTGAGTTAGTTACATGGCAGCATTTGGCAGCAAATGCTCTGCTCTGATCCAAGGCGCAAAATACATAATGAATTCTCTCACCCTTTTCTTAACCGAGTCGAGCCACGCCTCTTCGCTGGCACGTTTGGCTTGTTTATTTGGCTTTTTTTTTTTAGCCGTTTTTGTTTCACATGCACACACACACACATAAGAGTCTGCAATTAAGCTGCCTTAGCTATTATGCAATTGAACGAGCCGACTGTTTAAACAGTTTTTGCCCAACACACACACACACACACTCACACATGTACATATGTGCACTCACTCAACACTCACACACTCAAGCCAAATTGTGCAAGCTTTGAGCTTCTGTGTGTGTGTTATTTTTGGTGTGCTGGCTATACGGGCTCTGCCTAAACTGATGCTGCTGGTGCTCTTTATCAGCTCTCAGAGAGCTCGCCTTGAGGGCTTGGCTTTGTGACTCTGAAGCGGTATTTATCTAACGTTGAGCGCTGTGAAAGAGCTTAATCGTCTAGCATGATATTTGGACGGCTCAAAAAAATATATAAGCATCAAATTTTAGCTGAATGTATTTATATATTTTTAGCTTGCATTGCAAATAAGGTAAACCTTAAATTACAAAAGTTAAGTCTGTTATTAATAAAATATTACTTAATAATAATGCAAATTTTGTATATTAAATATTTTTAACACTTAAATTCGGTTTTCTACATGATATTTTTGTTTCAAAATTATTAATAAATTTGAAAAAAAAAATATTTATATATTTTCAAAATTAGTCCATGTTCTGCGTGTCTAGTTTATAAATAAAAATATATATTTAAAAAAAAATCTTAATATCATGAAAATGCCTGCTTAAGTTTGATTTTATTTCATTAACAACATATTTCTGCTGAAAACAGCTTAATTTTTGGTTAATTTATAAGAGTATGATATAAAGAACAATTTGTATTTGGAAACAACAAAAATATTTATATTTTAGTTCAAGACATTTATTTAAATCAAGGTAGACTCCAAAAATCCAATAATATGTTAAGGTAATATATATAAGGTCTGGGTATAAGAGAAGAACTAGTACCATCATTGTAGGCAGTCTTGTAGATCTATTTTCAATGCTCCCATTTGCATTCATATACATATATTCCCTATATATGTTTTAAAATATCTAATCCTCTTTCCAAACAATTTAGCAATCGCAATCAACTCTTAAGCTGATCAAATAGGTTTATAGCTAGAGCTCACCTGCACTAGATCTTTGAGCATATTTGAGCCCTGAACTAAATAATAAAAGAGCTGGAAAATGTGAACAACCGTCGCCAGCTGTTGAAAAATCCATTTGAAATTAACAACGCTCGAGTTGCAAGAAAATGCAAAATGTTCGACTTGTTGAGGGCTATGTGAGTGTGCAAGTGTGTGTGTGTGCGTGTGTGTGTGGCACATAAACCAAGCTTTTAACTGGCCATCGGGCACACACATACTCCCACACACACCCACACACATCAGTTGGCAAACCAATTTCCACAGCGAAGGACCTAAAATGAAACGCGTTTCAATAAATTCGTAAAATAAAATGTGCCAATAAATTGAGTAGAAGCAGCGCGCTGAAAACTAAACTAAAATCAAATTGAATTAAAATTCAAAGCGCTTAATATAGCAGCAGCGAGAGAGAGACAGAGAGTGAGTGCGTGGGTGACAGAGCTGGCGAGGGGCGTGGCAATAGAGAGCGTGTGGCTGATGGCAGCCTTCAAGTTGTCGCATTTTTCAATAAACTAAACAATTTACGAAAATTGAAGTTTATCTCAATTGTGCAGCTGTTGTTGACAACATTCTGTCCAGCAGCTAACAAAGCACACACAGAGCCCCTCTCTCCCTCTCCCAGCTCTTCCTCTTTCATGCTCTTTTGCCAGCTCGCACACAGAACTCAATTTGGCAATAAACTGAGCTACTGCACACTGCCTCCCAAACATATTCGCCCTCTGTCCGCAGTTCAACTCGAGGGTATTGGATACAGCAAAGGGGAGTAACGGTATATCTAGGGAGTGGAATGGAATGGAATGGAATATGCTAAGAGGGACGGTGAGAGAGGGTTCTAGAAGTTGGCACAAATGCGCTTAGTTGCTTTATTGGTCAAGCTTTTGTGCGTGGATAAAAACCCTTTTAGTGCACAATTGCTATAAATTTGCTGTGGCCATTATATGAGGGGCCGAGCCATCGAGGGAGCCGGAGATGTGGCGGGGTTTAGTTTTCAGTAGGGGTAAGTCATTCAACGAAATGCTTCCATTGTCATGTGTGCAA